CAGCCCAATTCATAATTGCCAGGTCATGGAAGAAGCCCAAGTGCCCATCGATCCACGAATGGATCAACAAACTGTGGTATAGGAATCTGCTTCTTAAAAGAGCCACCTTGCAGCTTGCTTTCTCATATGATGACATGGTTAGAAACAAAAGTACCTTTTTGAGTCTAGAGATTACATACATTAGACAGAATGCCTACCTATGTGTTCCTAATCGCTTTCTTAATGTCTTCTGTTCGAGCATCAGTGTTTGAATTAAGTGGATGTTAGCAATATGTGTTTCTGTTAGAATTGCTTGGTGAATCCAAAACGGACAGATAGCTTGTTGTTTCCTCCTGAACTGGCAGGGAATCCCTTCCAGCTGTATCAAGTTTATTTTCCAACAATAGAGCACATCTCCGTACTGGTGAAAGACATATTCTTAGGAAATACAAACAGTATTTGTTTGTCGCAAGCCTGTGTCTTCTCTTTCCTCCGCCTCAGTTCAACTCCTCTCCCTTCTTATCATTTTAATCGCTGGTTAGATTAGCAGTAGAATGCCGTCCTGCTTGTGTGTGTGTCTCTTGTCACCGCATCCTGTTAAACCACTTGTTCCCTTAACAGCCTGGAGAAGCACATGCTGTCACATACTGAAGAGAGAGAATACAAGTGTGACCAATGTCCCAAGGCCTTTAACTGGAAGTCCAATCTGATTCGCCACCAGATGTCACATGACAGTGGGAAGCACTATGAGTGTGAGAACTGTGCCAAGGTACCGTGGACTTGTGGGCTGCTGGGCCTGCTCCGTCGTCCTGCTCTCTCTTAATTCATCACTCTACGATACGTAAAAACAAGCCTGAAAGGGGAAACTATAAATATCTCAGAGAAGTAGGCTGAGTGTTGTGTGCTAAAAGGCATTAGCCCAGCGTATAAAAACACTTGGTGGCTATCCTTTTATTTTTGTAAGGGAGGAAGTGAGGCTTAATGGTAAGTTCCAGAACTAGGTGTCAGACATCCCTGGTAAGTTCCCGGTTCCGCCCCTGGCTTGCCAGCATGAAGTTGTTTTATAGTCTTATGGAGAGTGAAAATTGTATCCAGTGCATGTTACTGATTTCTTTTAATAGCACTTTGTGAGGGAGTTGCATAGTTTCCCTATTCAGAGGGAAGGGGAGACTCCCGCATTTGCAGGTTTTCCTACCAAGTCCTCACCATAAATCAGGACTTGGTTCCAGTTAGAAACTGCAGAGCCGCTGACTTAGACACTACATGTGTCCTGCTGACGGCACAAGGGTGAGACGGAAGTAGGGAGCTGTGGTGGCCGTAATCCACACATTCTCATCATCATGTGTCTTAATTAACTCAGAGATGTCCTGGTATCATTCCAGTTGCTTTTCTATTTTCAAAGACTTTTCATAACACTTGAATACCTTTTCCCTCACCAGTGGAAATTTCTATACTCCGTGGGGTTACCAAATAGTCATTCTTATGTAGTTGGAACTTTAATGTACATTAAACTAAAATTTTGTATACTTTTTTGCCTAAAAACAAATTTAAAATACATTTGAAATTACTCTTTAGGGATGCTTTGCTCCAGATGTGTTGGGCGGCTTTTTCATTATTTTAGGACAGTGTCCACAGGAAGGCTCACCTTGCAGGTGCCTCACTGAAACAGTGTGAGGATTTAACCCCCTAAAGAAACTGTTTCAGTAGATTTGAGGTTCTTTAGTAAAAATACCCCAGGTTTTATTTAAAGGGTGGAAGCGGCATGCCCATTTTAATAAGGGCATGACTAGCATCTCATCATTCAACATCAGTTGCTCTAAATGGGATTAGAACGCCCTCGAATGTGGCCTTCCTGGGCCTTTGCTGCTCTGGTGGACAGCCAGCCATGGGGAGTGACCCTGAGGACACAGGAGGTTGTGAGGTCCCTACCCTAGAGAAGGATATTCTTTGGAAATAATGCCTTTCTTTTAGTCTTTGGGGATAAACAAATAAAAACAAAGCAAATGAAATTCCTTCCTGAGTCATCTCCGGTCTTCTGTCCCTGTCCTTGAGTCAAGTTTCTCGATTAATCTGCACTCATTTCCTAGCAGGTGTTCACGGACCCCAGCAACCTGCAGCGGCACATCCGCTCCCAGCACGTCGGCGCCCGGGCCCACGCCTGCCCCGAGTGCGGCAAGACCTTTGCCACTTCATCGGGCCTCAAACAACACAAGCACATCCACAGCAGTGTGAAGCCCTTCATCTGTAAGTTGGTTGACACTCCAGCCCCTCTCCCTGCGTCTGTCTCTGCGGAGATGGCCACACATGGCACCAGGGCGTCACCGTGGTAGCTACTTATGGTTCAATCCAATAGGGGTATTTCCTATTACAAGAAGGTCATTGATAACCAGATCCATGGTATTTTGTCTGAGGTCTCCAGGGTGTTTTCTTTTAGATGAAATCAGTAATCGGTAGAGAGCAGAGAAGTTGTTAAATAGTGAAGGGGAAGCCTCCCCAGATTGTGGGGTTCAGTGGAGACACCCAGGTTTGTCTCACACTGTAAATGTGCAGGGCTTTGTAAAGCAGTGAACAGCAGCTATCATTAAACAAAGTGAAGTGATTAAAAACCTGTTCTGGATCAGAAAGAGCTGGAAGGACCCCACCTGGAGAGTGGCTCACAGTCTGCACGTCTGCGCGTCTGTGCGTCTGCGCGTCTGTGTATGGAGAGGTGGGGGATAAATGCTCCTTCTTCTGCCCTTTGTTTCCAGTCTCAGGCTGTGGATCTGTAGTTCTCTGGTACTTGAGAAGCAGAACATTTTCACTTTGATGCTGGACACGCTGTTTCCCTTACCCACGACACCAAAGCAAATTTACAGGCAGCGTGCATTGAGGGGACACCTATTCTGACCACCTACGTAGAATACCCCTCCACAGAGCCCTGTAGAAACCTGGTTCAAACAAAATGAAATGCAGCCCCTTATTTGCTGTTGCTTCTGTCCACCCACGTCTGTTCCCTCTATTGTGTAGAAATATTTTATAAGAAAAATCAGTTGTCCTTGGTCCATCTGGGCAACAATTCTGGGCTTCTTTTAATCCACTGCTTGGCTGGGCACATAAATACAGTGACTCATTGAGTTTAGCTACAAACTGCAAGACTGATTTTGGAGCCAGGTACACACAGAATTGGTTGGAGCGTGCTTAGCGCCTTGGCGAGACCTCTGACTTTGGTTTGTAGCAGGTATTTGAGACACTACTACACGACCTGATGGAAAAATCTAATTTTCAGTGCCAACACCGGCTGCCAGAGACTAGCTTCTCTCCTTCGCCTTGACATGGCCTTTTTCTGTGCTTCCAAACCCCGAGAGAGCTTTCCCTTCTTTCTCCAGCCTCACTAGAGTCCTGTTTGCTCATGCTTTTCTGTTCCTTGGGTGGAGTGAAGAGGACTAGCAGATAAACAGAGGGTGCCCCGGTCTCCCTTGGGGGAGCCCTGTTGAAAGCCACGGGAAATGGAGCACACAATAGAAACTCAGACCTCTTGTCTCAGAAAGGCAGTCCTGACTTGTAACATCCTGAAAATGTCCTTGGAAATGCTACGAGCATACGAAATTATGTAGTTTATTATTTTCTGATTCCTCAGAAGTAAATTTTGGTAAGTTGCATTATGTTTTGTTGTTAAAAAAAAAAAAGTGGAATAATCCACAAGGGATTCTAATCACCCATTTAATGCTTCCTCTATTATTTCACATACAAGTCAAAAAATGTGGAACTCCTATCATGTAAGATTCTGGGATCTGGGATTTTAATCGTGTTGAAGTCAAGTGTTTCACTTGAAAGTGTTCTAGGGAGTCCCTTTCTCATCAGACTGCATGAAGTCTTTCCCATGAATGTACTTTCAGTGATTATTGATAAATTTAAATAGCAGATGGAATTCTTCACATATAAAATCTGACAGAGTGCCATGGAGTAATTATGAATAATAGCTGTGTAATTTTAGAACAAAAGAGTTTAAGGATCGGGGGTTGGTGTGGAGACCAGAGGGGAGGAGGTCCACCTAGAGCTGATATCTGTTTCTCCCCAGAAGGCCACACACACACACCTCAGCCCCACTGGTGTGTTTACGGCAACTGTCTCTTATTACAATGCGCCGCCAAGCTTCAGCCCAGAGTCACCAGCGCTGAGGCAATTACTCACTGCCTTTGCAGGAACCTCCAGCCTTCCCAAATAGAAACCACATGCTCTAATAGGCTGAATATATTCAAAATGCCTCTTAATTTGTTTAATAAGTAGAAAAATGTTACATTAACTGCTGGCTAATTCCTTATTACTGGGAAAATCACAGTAGAGCAGAGGTTTCAGCATCAGTTGAGCATTTTACCTAGAAGCCTGGAGGTCTGTGTTGTGCCCAGCCAGGCCCTCAAGGGCATAAAACAAAGCCTGTGCCTGAGGAAATGTCCTGATCCTGTGTTCCTGAGATCAGACACAGACACCACTCATCCACAGAGCATGGTCAGGAAGGGCCAGCACGCCGTCTTGCTCCAACACAGAGAAGCCCTTGACTCTCTCAAAGCCATCCAGCTGTAGAAAGAAGTCTAGAGAGCAACATCTTCTTGCCAAAAACTTGCGAGCCTTTTAAAAGCTTCTGCCTCGGTTGAGTACCCATGTAGACATTTTCCTCAGTGCCTTTTAAGAGCTGTTGCTGGCTTAACAAGTGCATTTTCATAATTTCAACAGTATTTTATTTACTCTTCTTTGTTATTGCTCATAGCTGAGTTACAAAATCGAGTGAAAGGCTGATGTTTCCATCCTCTCCATCATATGATTTTAATTAGTGTATTAAAGAACATAGATAATTTGTATATTTATTGCTAGGGTCAAATAGTCTATACATACTTTTAAAAGAGAGTCTAATCATTATGGCCTGGTAAAATAATTTGAAAATAAATCACCCCTATCTTCCATTCTCATTTAAATGAGTGTTACAGCCTCTGTGATGTTATGAATCACCCCACAATCGAAGGCAGGCGCTTCTGATACTACTGAGCACTCTGATGTCTATAGTGATACAGAAATAGAGACACCATCCCTTCATGCTCTGTGCATGGATGTGTGCATAGTATTCCAAGTTCTGGGTGAGTTTTGCTTGAGTGAAAGTCTGTGAAGTGTCCAGTGCATAATTTTTTTAAAGAATTATTATTGCTTTGACTTAATTATTATTGCTAGGTATTTCTGCACCACGTGAAGGCGATAAGTGTTGCACTTTGTCTTCAATCTAATTTGCTGAAATAAATTTGTTTCAACAATTACCAACAAGGCCTGTCATACTTTTGCAAGAGTTAAACACGTACAGAAGTGTTAGAGGCAGTGCACACGTAAAGTTCCTCATCCCCAGTAAATTAAAATAAAAGATTTGATCCTCGGGTGCTGATGTTCCAATTCTGCCGGGCTGTGGAGCGAGTAGGATTCTTCCCTAGCAAAGGGGTTCTTAAGGGTTAAAATGTCTGGTTTTAACATATACTTAGATATGTGGGCACTGTGTCCGGAGGGGGACTTTCTGCCTTATCGGCAGATTCTAGCAGAGAGGACTGTCTCTCAGCTGCACCCACAGTCCTGTCCTTCCTTCTGAGTTTGAGCTTCCACAACTCCCTCAGCTCCCCAGAGTTGCCTGGATCATACCGAAGTCGAGCCCCAAGATAACCAGCGCAGATACCTAACAACAAGGGGCCACGTTTCCCAAGGACGAGGGTTTCTCAGATGCAGGAAGGTTAGTGCAGCCACTGGTGAGAGGGGAAGTCAGGGGACGTGATCGCAGTTCATGGGAACCAGCAATGCAGGATGGGCTACATTCAATTTTGTTTCCTTTGCGAGCTTAAAATAGAGCCATTGTAAATTATGTCAGTCTTTCTCATATCATGAAAATGATTGTTGAGAAAGTCTCAGAATACACAATGTGCATTGTTGGGTGGCTTTGATGTGTGAATGATGAGAGCGAATGATATAATACCGGTTAAATAATGGTACAGCAGTCACAGGCTTTTTCCCCAAGGGGAGGGACAATACGGTGAAGTTTCTGGTTGAGAGAAGGGCTGTTTTATTTTATTTTGGTGCCCACAATATGAAATGATTTAAATGCTCAAACTTTTTAAAGGGTCTCCTGTTACGTTTCATACTATGTACATTTTAAGACTTTAATTTTTAGGGTTCTACTAGTGGGTGGGGGAGTCGCTGTCTGCTGGAAATCGACTTTTCCGTAAATCCTGAAATACACAAATAATTGTACCCAATGATGTGTAGTGGGGATGAGAAATAGGAAGTGTTTGTGGTGCCTCGAGACGTTCGCTGGCTGGATGTCTTGCTTTGGGGTCTAGTTCACGGGGTTTTCTGCCTCCAGCATCTCTTACTGGCTTCCTAACGGAAATTTTAGGTAACCCGATTGTGATACTTGCTGAATTCAGAAGCAATTGCCATAAGCCTGAGACTGTTTTTTGTTGTTTGCACACAGGTGAGGTCTGCCATAAGTCCTATACTCAGTTTTCAAACCTTTGCCGTCATAAGCGCATGCATGCTGATTGCAGGACCCAAATCAAGTGCAAGGACTGTGGACAGATGTTCAGCACCACGTCTTCCTTAAATAAGCACAGGAGGTTTTGTGAGGGCAAGAACCATTTTGCGGCAGGTGGATTTTTTGGCCAAGGCATTTCACTTCCTGGAACCCCAGCTATGGATAAAACGTCCATGGTTAGCATGAGTCATGCCAACCCAGGCCTTGCTGACTATTTTGGCGCCAACAGGCATCCTGCTGGTCTTACCTTTCCAACAGCTCCGGGATTTTCCTTTAGCTTCCCTGGTCTGTTTCCTTCCGGCTTGTACCACAGGCCTCCTTTGATACCTGCTAGCTCTCCTGGTAAAGGACTACCAAGTACGGAACAGACAAACAAAAGTGAGAGCCCCCTCTTGACACATCCTCAGATCCTGCCAGCCACACAGGACATTTTGAAGGCACTCTCTAAACACCCCCCCGTAGGGGACCATAAGCCAGTGGAGCTGCAGCCCGAGAGGTCCTCTGAAGAGAGGCCCCTTGAGAAAATCAGTGACCAGTCAGAGAGTAGTGACCTTGACGATGTCAGTACGCCAAGTGGCAGTGACCTGGAGACAACCTCGGGCTCTGATCTGGAAAGTGACATTGAAAGTGATAAAGAGAAATTTAAAGAAAATGGTAACATGTTCAAAGACAAAGTAAGCCCTCTTCAGAATCTGGCTTCAATAAATAATAAGAAAGAATGCAACAGTCATTCCATTTTCTCACCATCTTTAGAGGAGCATACCGCGGTGTCGGGAGCTGTGAATGATTCTATAAAGGCTATTGCGTCTATTGCTGAAAAATACTTTGGTTCCACAGGACTGGTGGGGCTGCAAGACAAAAAGGTCGGAGCGCTACCTTACCCTTCCATGTTTCCCCTCCCGTTTTTTCCAGCATTCTCTCAATCAATGTACCCATTTCCTGATAGAGACTTGCGGTCGTTACCTTTGAAAATGGAACCCCAATCACCAGGCGAAGTGAAGAAACTGGCCAAGGGAAGCTCCGAGTCCCCCTTTGATCTCACCACGAAGCGGAAGGACGAGAAAGCCCTGACTCTGGTGCCCTCCAAGCCTCCCATGACACCGGCCACAAGCCAAGACCAGCCCCTGGACCTTAGCATGGGCAGCAGGAGTCGGGCCAGTGGGACAAAGCTGACCGAGCCCCGAAAAAACCATGTGTTTGGGGAAAAAGAAGTAAGCAGCGCCGAAGCCAGGTCGGCGCCGGACGGCTCCCTGCAGCACGCGAGGCCCACGCCTTTCTTCATGGACCCCATTTACAGGTAAGGCGGGCGGAGGGGCCCCCGCGAGCAGGTGGGCGCCGGGGAGGCACAGCGTTCACGCCAGAAAGGGATGGAGTCCTAGCCAGTCATTTTAAAGCCTTGTTATAAAACGGAGAGTAGACTTGTTCAATCCAGGGACTTCCTTTTTATGCAGAAAATTGGGCCCTTAGGTTTGGGATTATTTGGGGTGTCTTCTGAAGTTGGGGGTTTGGAATAAGCCTGCAGATTTTTTTTTCTTTGACGATAAACTTATTTTTAAACACAATTTTTGTGGAGTGGAAAATACGGAAAAGTCATATTTAAAGTAAGTTGTCAAGTGGTGGAAGAATGGGGATCCTGCAGGATTCGGGGAAAGTGAGTGGGCATCGCCTGGGGCAGGTGCTTGGAGCACGGTGGGAATTGTTAACCTACCGACACATCCTCAGCTCCTACTGCTCATATTCATTTTCTAAGTAAATTTTTTAGGAGCTCCCAAAGTCAGTGAAATGTTAATTACCATTTTTTAAAATATATATAATGTCAGTGTTTGGCTTAAAAAACACATCTCTGTTTGATGGCTTCATCATCCATCCATTTTCCTTTGATTTTTCCAAAAATGTTTTGAATGAAATACACACCTACAAGTTCAATACAAGGCCTCTTCCGCTGTATTCTGCAACACTTCACCAAAGTGGTTAAGTTTTTAAATGCTCATTTTAAAAAATGGGTAGAAATTACAATAACTATGGTTATTAAATATTTCAAATAGCACAAACATTTTCATAAATACTGCTTTGTTCAAATCTTGAACAATTTCAAAAAAGTTCACGGAATATGTAGATTTTTTTTTAAGTTGAATTTAAGATGGGAATATTTTCATATTTTGCCTAAGTCTCAATTCTCTTTTATGAAGAGAAGATTTAGTGTTATTCTTTTATTTGAAAAGATTTATTGAGTTTCTAATACTTAATAGGTGCCAGACCTACAGATTCTTTTCACTTAAAACTCTTTTTCTACCCGTATTACCTATGCTGCATTCACAAGGAAATACTCCTAGTATGGTAAGGGCTCCCCATTTGAACACGACAAGGAAAAAAAGTGTCTGGTATTGTCAGGACCATGTTGATCACAGTTTTCAATTATTATACCTTACATTTCCATGGCAGCCTCTTACTAGAGAAGGAAGAAGAGATGAAAACAGACCCTCCAGACTTTGCATGTAGATTGCACATCATGCGTTTCTGGGAAGGTCACGATTCTCTCTCTGTGATGGTCCTTAGGCTTCCTTACACCCTTCCACTGGCAACAGGCTTCCAGTTCTCCCCGCACGCCCACGGCACTCATCTTCATCACTCCTAGCCTCCCCTCACAGCTCTAATTTTCGTCTCATCGCTGATGTTTCCCCCTCAGTTGAGGGCGTGTGCCTGTCATTCAGCCAGACCCGTGAAAGACCGAAACCCAGCTTTGGTGTCATGGCCAGGCTAGACTCTCAGCCTTCCTGTGTCTGTGGCTTATCTTTGCACCCATGAGATGGGAGTGACATGGCTTATTTCAATAGATGAAATAGTGCAGTCAAAGCAAAACATATGTAAAATTGCAGAGAGTGGTATTTCTATTCTGCTTTGAAAGTGCATTTATTTAACAGTTGTTAAAGGAAAATTAACAATAGTCGGTAAAAGAAGTTATTTCAGTTCATCTCATGGTATCATTTCCCTGTGTGATGAATGGAAAATGGAATACAAATATTTCAAAAGAAGGAGAGCTATATAAATTTTATATGATGCATACACACACACAGAGTGCCCAAAAATGTTCACACACTTTAAGGAAAAAACTGCATTAAAATCTTAATTCTCAATATGTATGATAACAAGTGCTGAGCACTCTTATAATTGCAGAAATCAAATGTGACTTGAGTATTACAAATTTAATGCAGCTTTTTCCTTTCATAAAATACTAACACATTTTTGACATCCTCCTTGTGTGTATAGGCATGTCTGTATGTATATGTTATAGATGTATAAATATAATTTTGAGTAACCTTAGGGAGTGGCTGGCAGGGTATAGCGCATGCTTGAAACATCCTTGTATTATTGGCAAATGTGAAAGAAATTGAATTTGGGGGGATGTCAAAAATGCTTTTAATTGTCAAAATTAGCCCTGTTCCCATGATTTCAGAGTCACCCAGGGTTCTTGAGTTCATTTGAAATGGAAAGGTACGGCATTTGGGACAAGTGCCTCTCATTTACTGACGGCACTGGTTTCATATTTCCTCATTGTAATTACTAGTCCTTCATAGGATTTTTCCATTATGAATGGGACCTTGTCCCTCTCAGCCTGGGGGTGCTGTGAGTGTCCTCAGGAGATCAGCAGGTGCCTCTGTGTCTGTACCAGGGTGCTCCTGAGAAGCCTGCTGTCTCCTTCACTGTTAGATGCTTGAAATGTCAGTGACCATGTGGCAATTGACATGTGAGACCGATTCATCTCCAAAATCTAATTTTAACCTTTCAGAGTAGAGAAAAGAAAGCTAACCGACCCACTTGAAGCTTTAAAAGAGAAATACTTGAGGCCTTCTCCAGGATTCCTGTTTCACCCACAAGTAAGTATTTTGCCTTTGAGATTTCCAGCTTATAAACTAACTTGTTGATCCTGAAAAGCAGGTGCGATGAAATGAAAGACATCTTGAGAACATGAGGATTTCCTCTGACGCTGGTGGGGAAGAACACAGGAAACTCTAGCAGAATTAAAACCTGGGCTCTTTCAAGAATAATTAATTAATATATGTGTGAACATAACACAGTTTTGGTGTTAAATTATTGTCTGCTATCAGCTACTTATTGAGCCAAAGTGCATTTTGGAGTGAGCAGAACTCAGTTAAGAAAACAAATATTAAAGGGCGCTTTTTGTGTTTAAAGGTTGCTGATGCTAAGAAATAGATCATACTGTCCCAAACGCATGAAAGTCATTCTTATTCTTCTTGGGCTTAGATAAAAACAGGAAATGAGCTACCTGATCAGTTGTTACCACAGAGGGTGAAGGAATTTATCTAGAGATTACTGGGCATTCCAGGAAAGTTCTGTAATGGCACAAGAATCTGCCACAATACACAAAGCTGTTTGCTAGACAGAGTTGTGTCCATTTATCAAAAGATGTGCAGTTTCTCAGAGTACAGAAAAAAGCAGCATTATCTAATTGGTGCATCCTGGTGTCCTGACACATTTGGGAATTTTCTAAAAGCAAGTCCTAAAATCTGATTTATGTGCCAGTCAGTATCTGGAGGATAGTATTGAAAGAACAAATATAGAATATTAACATCTTGACTATGGTTTCTTAATTTATATTTTATTTTATTTTTGTTGAAAGGAACAGATTCTGGTCTTTGTAGATAGCAGTGCTTTTATGAAAACGCTGGAAAATGGAGTAAACTGATTTTTTTCTATTGCAATACGTTCCAGCCAAAATTGATGGTTCTTTAATAAAATGGGGGGAAATTTATGTAAGCTGTCTTATGGAGAGCCATGAGGTAATTAAGTTAATTCATCTTGGAGTATGATGTTTCCCTTTCCATTACTTTTTTCTTCACCTTTTCAAATACCTTCCCAAAGTCCTGAGTAAAGCACGAGGGCGCTGAGATGCAGTCTCCTGGGTTAGGCTGATAAATCCACTATTGCTCAAAAACTCTCACTCAGTTTCAAACAGAGAAAATACATGATTTAATATTAAAAGGTTTAGAAACATTCCCATTAGAATTAGTTTTATATATAGGAAGGCTAAAGAATGATATCATTTACTTGATTACTTTATGGAAAAGAAGCAAGTTTTAGAACAGTCAGTGTTTATCTGGGGCTCATTTTATAATTAGGCCGATCTAAATGCACTCGTGAGATTTTATGGACCAATAAACCTGAACATAATATGTGTTTTATTTCAGATATTGTACAAAAAGTATATATCTCTTGATACTTTCTAATTATAAATAAATACTTATGAGGATAAAATATTTATATGCATACAATTACAATAATCAAATCGTTATTATATTTTGATAACCTTTAAAATCTAGTAATTGACCAATTCAGAATTGAATGCTATGGGTTCGTGGAAAAATGGAGAAAAAGCAGTACGGGGATTCTATTTCTTTGAGCAGGGGAGTCTGCCTGGCTCTTAATGTTTTTATCTGGAAAATGAGAAAGTTGAGTGTGTGGTCCCCATTCACTATAAAATTCAAAGATTTTTAGCTAGCCAGGGTAAATCTCCTGGTTCATAAGATGGGCAATTTTACTTACCAACTCTCTATGTATGCACAGTTCTTTTAAAGAAATATTTGTACATGTTTTTAAATAAATTAAAGAGAGAAGCATATTATATTTTACTATTCTCCAAGTTAATGAGAGATCAGGAAGGGTGAAGCGCATGTCTGTGCTTGGAGCTGGCGACCCCTCTCTCAGGTCCTCACAGGTGTTTCTGGGGAGCATAGGGGCAGTCCCCTCCCACAGCAGAATGCCACGTCTTGGTGGGGGCCTGCTTGTTTATCCATGTTCCTACTGAAACAGGATACAAGGTTGAGAATCAAGATCCTGAATGCCTAGGCTGTCAGCAGCACTGCCCAGTGAGGGTGGGTGCCTGGTTCTGGAGGCCTTTGCTGCTCCCACTGTCAGCGTTTTATTTGCTGGGTAGTGGGACTGTCTGAGGGGTCCCTGTGGAGGTATCAGGGCCTCATTCTGAGTGCTTAGGGCAGAAGCTGCCAACCAGATGTACTTCACGTTTTCATAACTGGTGTGGTTGTGTTAGTGTGTGACACTGTATTATTGGCCTGCAGACCAGTCCTCCTTCTCATTAAGTCTGCTCAGCCCTCCCAGGGTGACCAGAGGGTCATGTACACACACAGACATGGGTTTAGCCATGTGTTTGGCATCTGGGAGGACCTACATGACAGAGGGGCTCTTAGTACATTCCTGGGTGCAGAAGATTTCATTGTGTATAAAGAGGCCAAGAAAACCCCCTCCACCCCTCCTCGAGGCCAATTTCCTTGCTGACCCTCTGCCACATCCCTAGAAGTCCTCACAGAGATGCCTACAGTGTTCTTAGCATGACCTAACTGGGCAGAAGGAAGCATGGCACAGAGCAAGGATCTGAGACAGGAGGATCGCCTCTGCTCCTGGGCTCACTGGGATTTCACGGCTCAGCAGGGGCTCCCAGGAGACTATCTGTTGCTTCATTTTCCATTTAAAGTAGGTTGGAGCAAATCACTTAGGCCCTCTAGATTTCTGAATCTTTACATTCGAAATGGGAATAATATCTGCCCTATTTCCCAGAGTTATCATAATGATAATAGTTTTACAGGAAACAAAGAGAAGGATATATAATTGCTTGGCAAGGTATGAGGGCAAGTCCAACTGTGCACTTTGTGTGCATCTCCATATTCTGCCCTGTACTTCCCTCCCCAGTGCACAATACTACGTGATTTTTCACTAAATAAGAATTTGTGGAATTTTATTGAAGGATTCATTAGGCTATTTTTACTGCCTTTGCAATAATAGTATCTTTAAAGTTCTATCCAAAATACTGTACTTAAAAAATACATGAACACAATCATCAAATTAAAAGATAAATGTGCAGGGTCTAAATTACTTGTATCACTCAATTCTTGAAGAAGTATTTGCTATGTCAGACAACTAGAGCTGCAGTCCCTAACCCCCATACCTTTCTGCAGCTGCTAGGAACTGGGCCACACAGAAGGAAGTAGCGGGGAGGGAGGAAGCGCCATCTGTGTTCCCAGACGCTCCCCATCATTCCCATCACCACCCGAGGTCCCATCACTCCCATCACCGCCTAAGCTCCCATTACTCCCATCACCGCCTGAGCTCCCCATCACTCCCATCACTCCTATCACAACCTGAACTCCCCATAACTCCCATCACCACTTGAGCTCCTGAGCTCCCATCACTCCCATCACCACCTGAACTCCCCATCACTCCCATCACCACCTGTGCTCCCCATCACTCCCATCACCACCTGTGTTCCCCATCACTCCCATCACCTCCTGAGCTCCCCATCACTCCCATCACCACCTGAGCTCCCCATCACTCCCATCACCACCTGAGCTCCCCATCACTCCCATCACCACCTGTGCTCCCCATCACTCCCATCACCGCCTGTGCTCCCCATCACTCCCATCACTCTCATCACTCTCATCACTGCCTGAGCTCCCCATCACTCCCATCACCTCCTGAGCTCCCCATCACTCACATCACTGCCTGAGCTCCCCATCACTCCCATCACCACCTGAGCTCCCCATCACTCCCATCACTCCCATCACCTCCTGAGTTCCCCATCACTCCCATCACTGCCTGTGCTCCCCATCACTCCCATCACCACCTGAGCTCCCCATCACTCC